AATTGCCGGATCAGTTTGTGCCGATATGAGACAACCAACAGCTTCGTAAAACACGTGAACTTGTTGTGGAGATAAGTCACAAATTATTGAATTCAGTCCGCTCAAAATCTCATCAATAAATGGACCTGTTTCACCCGCTTGGGTCTGAAATTTCAATATGAGACGATTTTCTAACTGTGCGCAACATATCCCCAAATTAAGAAGCAACAATGATCGTTGTGAATATTTGCACCTAGAAAGGATTTCCTAATAGCATTTACACAAACAACATCATTAATTAATTTATGCTTTACCAACCTATGTGCGCATCCCAAAAAATTCAAAAAAAAAAAATTCCAACATGGAAGGGTGGAGTATTTCAGTGCCAGAACTATTATCATCATGAAAAAAATTCGTAAGAACAAAACAATTCATTTCAAACTAATTAGTACTTCCCATAACTTAATAAATCTACTAGGTAGAAATTTCTTGAAATCCCAATAAATCCATGCTTGACGAATTCCAGATTTAGTTTCAGTTTTCTATTTCAAAAAATCCACAAGATCAGAGGAAATCATACCAGCACAAAATGACGTTTGCATTTATGAGCTACTTTAATAAACGTATCGCAAGCCATATCCTGCACTCCCTCATGTGTTTCGTGCATAAATTCGAAAAGCTTGTTAATAACAGTCTTCAAGAATTTCCAATGTGCTCGAAGGAAACGTGGATACTGTCCGACGACATACATTATATTCGATGCGATCACCGATTTGTTATCCTTACCACGTTTCTGTTCACACAATCCGAGTAAATCTGCAGAAAAAATTTATTACTTTATGAATACTCTCTTTGAAAACTGGATATCTTAAATATTCATTAATCGAAATTTCTGCAGGGAAAGAGTTAAGAATACCTCTGATTACTCCAACTAGGAATCGCTTTTCATCCTCTTCCATCATCGCGCCACTGATTGAACCGATTGCCCAGCAAAGCTAAAATAAAATTCTTTATTTACATTAAAAAATCAACAATCGTGTGACTATTTAGCAAGTTGCACGGAGGGTTTAATCATTTTCCGGTAAATCTAAAAATAAATCATTACCGTATTCAGATTCTTCCACGACCATTCTTTGCCATTAACCTGATTCTGCAACTTCTCAGTCATTTTCATTTCTGTGTCCTTGTAGTCAAGGTGAGTCAGGTAAACTGCAATTAACATTGAAAAACTGAGCTGAAACTGCCAATCATGTATTCATTTCGAATATTTTTTCACCTCCCTATCTTAGAGATTAAAAAATTTTTTTAGAGAAAAAGTTTTTGAGGCACCATCTTTTCCACCCTAATCTATACTCTCTTCTAAGTTGAGAAACTTCATGGCAAGATACATACCCAACGTTTCCCTCATGGTTTTGTAGAGAGTAATTGAATCCGTATCTTTGATAAGTTCGCGCACCACTTCGCCTTGATCATTTTCAACAACAAGAACTTCTTCTGGTTTTGCCATCCTCGATATCATTACTAGTCGTAACTGCAAACGTTAAGTATAATCCTAGAGTCTGATTATATGCAACAATATATTAATTAATGCAAATACTTTTCAAAATGCTTAGTATTGATAATCGACTAAAAACTTTAAAAAGAACCGGCCTACAAGTCGAGGATTTTGTTCTAAGTATTACTTGACTACATAACTACCTATGTTATGGTATAACCGTGTAATTGACTACCTATGTTATGGTATAACCGTGTAATGTATTACTTTTCGTTTGGAATGTTCAATGACAACTATAGCCCTACCTGATAACATCGGAAAATTTAAGAAAAAATTCATTCGCTTAAAACGATACCTCGGATAAAACATTATTGTAAAGCAAACGTCGAGGAGGTTCTTGCTGTCCGACAAACATTGGAAACGCACTTATTATTGGACGATCAATTTGGAACGGGAATTCTCGATACAGTTCCGCACAAAGCCAGTTCCAGTAGTCTAGACATATTTTAAACACTTCGACATCATCAACCATACTTATCTTCAACAAATACTGCAACGCCTGAAACAATATTTTATTTTGATACAAAAAGAAAATGGTACAATTCCAACTCTTTTATTTGGAAAGGTTAAATAACAGAAGTCATATTTCCTTCCATTCACTCTTAAACAGTGCCAAATTGCTTAAACATAATTTACCATTTCGTGCGCACTTTTCAGATCTAATTCGTCAGTTTTGTCACCAAAGACTTCAACAAGCTGAGAATTTTCTTTCAAAAATGTTCCCAAGAATTGCGCCAAATTGGCTATAAACTTTTGGTCAGCATCAGTACCGCGTCGATAAGCGTCAGAGAGATCAACTCCTGGATCGATTGTATTCATAATCTATAATAATTCGACATTTTCAATGCCTTTACCATTTAACACCTCAAAACTAATGGCGTCTCCACAAGAAAAATAATTCTGCAGAAATTATAAATGCATCAAATCCCAGCTGTTTATTACGCAATAACAAATGCTCCCACCATTTTCTGACTAAAGCACAATAATATTATTGGAAGAAAAAAATAGTTGAACGAAAACAGGGAGAAAGGGAGTCAAATCCTTAGATATAAAATCAATAAATATTTCAGGTTTATCATGTGATCAAATAATAGGTAGTCCCATTCTTTCCTCCTCTTCATGGATGTTAATAGTTGAAAATAAAATTAGCAAAAGGGAAGTTTAATTTATTTGATTTGTTGGGAATAAAAAGTTCACCTGCATCATTGAGTTTCTGAACAGCGATTTGACTTGATTTGCATAAAGTTCATTTTGCTGTTCCATTTGTGCAACACTCAGCGATGCTATTTCAGTCAAACACTGCACCGTAATACAGCGAAACATTGCCACTCCGAGAAACTAAAAAAGTAAGAATATCCTTCATCACTGTAATTCTGTACATGTACATTAAAGGAATAACACTGGCACCATTGCAATGCTTCCATTACTGCAAAAAATAAAAATCAAACAAATACTTTTCAACCTGACAAGTCATAATAAAATGTAATAGAAGCTAGCAGACGGAGAGACGAAAGGTTATAAGTAGATTTGATTTCAGTGTTAATGAATTTCGTTTCGCTATCGATAATTATGGTAATAGCTATCTAAGAATAAGACAAGGAGAGTTGACTGCAATTTTATTTAGTAAAATTTTAATAAAACCTGTTTTACCGAACAGTGAGCATAATTCAAGTAAGTCTCTTCCAATGCCCAGAGATAAACCAATGCTAAGGAATTTACTGTAAACTTAATTTTGCCAGCTGATCTCGCAGGAAATCACATAATATATTGTCCCTATAGCAATATTACGGCCATGTAAGGTTTTCTTCGTTTTAATTCTTTAAAGTCCAAAAGATATGGAAATAAGTACCTTTTTAGTGAGCAAATCAATCAAGTTTGTCTCAAAAATATATCCAATAGGAATCCAACTCATAAAGCGATGTAAGGTATGTAATGTTGCATCCACTAACGGTGCATTATCGGATGATTCCTGTGAAAATATTCTTTTATAATGAATTTTTGAATATTTCTTTAAAATCAAGTTTTTATATTCAGCGGACAAGACCATTACCATGACTGTGTAACACAAATTGAAGACAGCCTGAAATTCGCTGCAAAATGTCTTCTTCAGATGATGAGCCTTTGCCTGAGTCATTTCACCATCAAAATCAAACACTTCTTCACTGAAATTAATGAAAACGGCTGCAGTAACCTCAAGTACATATTACTGTTAGCACTTCAGATTTAACACAGAACCATTCTAGATTTTGAAGGGATTAGAAAAGATGGCGCAAAATATGAACGCTATATCATTTAATTTTGCCGCAAAACACTCCATCCCAACTCTAGTATTTTTGAATGCAAGCATAAAAACTAATTTTCCACTTTCATTTGAACTGCTTCATTCCAGTTCTTGTATTAAAGAACTGGAATGAATGCATGAATATAAATGAATATATGAATATAAATTCTGTTACCTGAGTAGGCGCAAAATGATCATGTTATTCAAGCAGAGATTGTCGTTTACTTTGCTAGCACCAACGATATCGGCCATAAATGTCGGCCAGTGTTTTGGCCACTCTTGTTTAACAATCTGCAAATACATAAAAAATAATGTTAGACTAATGAAGTAATGTTAGAGTAATGATTACATAATAAAAAGAAAACCTGCATTAAAACAACTACATGAGGGACAAAAGATGTACTGTATACGCAAGTAAATAAGTAAGTAAATGAATAAATAATATCTTGACCTGGACGAGAACCAAATTCAGTTTCTGAAGATACGTTTTGATTTGCGGACTTGCAATTTCCTCACTACTGATCTTTATCACTAGTTCAACGATGAACGATTTTATACCTAAAATACAGCAGCATGATGGAATAGGATATTGTAAGCCAGGAATTCGTACAATATATATTTCACTTATTATAATATTTACGCATTTATTAATATACTGAAATGCCAGTTCATTTTAAATGCACATCCAAAATCTTATCCGGCACTATCTCAGCTCAATTTCATTCTGATTACATATACCGTCGTTTCGATACAAGTCCGACTCATGTAACTTTCCTATGGTTTCGCTTTGCATTATTGGAATTCATTTAAAATTAAACATTAAATTAACAATTCATTTAAGATTAAACACCAAAAGCGTCCCAATTACGGTTTTTATTCTCAACTACATGACTGCAGGAATCCCTATCACATAAGCATAAAATTCTCGTCAACTTTCTGAGTGATCGTTTCTTTATAAATGAATAATATTTCATGACATGCCACAACTCAATATATTCCACACCTTCACATTGCTCACGTGGTAATGATTTCCAACGAGTTTCAATCAATGATTCAAGTATTTGTAACGCGTAATATTTAGTTTCCATCAATTGACTGTACTCTAAAATACCATCAACACGTGTCCATGATGTGTCCTTTTGTTTCAGTTCCGTAAGAATTTTTGATGCAAGCTGCTGAGTTTCACCTGTTGACTGATTCATTATATTCACAACCTGAAAATGATCTTGCGATTTCCTTCCTAGGGAAATCCACGGAAAGCAATAGAGGGATGAGAAACCAACAATAATAGTGGAAATGCTAAGATTATGAATATAAAACTTAGCTTTATCATCAATTCAACGACGAACATGAGTTGATAATGTGGTAAATCAAGACTGCTGATGACAAAGCCAAATTGTGTAAAGTGGAGCTAGGAATTATACTTTAAGAGAGAAAAAAAAACCTGATCAAGAAGTGGTATTTCAATTTTCTCGGATGATAGCAATACTTCACCGGCTTTTTGTAAAGCCGCAACGGTCATCATTGTCATACTTTCATACACCGGAAAAGCTGGACGGTTCAATGCGTCAAGAAATTTACTTCCTATGCCTGGTTGTATGTTTTGTCCTTTCGATTACTTTTCACTTTTCAAATATACGTATTTCACACTTGTAACACGCGCACACTCACTCAGACACACTCGCACGCACACAGTACACACGACACACACTGGTGACGAAGCTGTTAGCGCGTACTGAAAATATAATTAACATTAGTGTGGAAAAAAAAGAGGAAATTGAATAACGACAAGCAGTACTTATACATACATCCGCACTTGAAACTAGGAATTAAAGGGTCAACGAACATACTTTCATACTATCAGCTACTATACTAACTAACACATTTTTGGTTACTTTGTTTTAGGACACGTATTTAACCATTCAAATACAAGAATCAATCATTGAAATCTTCATTATTTTCTCACATCGAACTTAATTATCTAATTACTCTTCTGTATATATTCGGTTTTACGATAAATAGGTTGCAATTGACAAATGATCTAATAGATTGGGAGATGACAGCCACCATTGTCTAAATAATTTAAACATTTCGTCCAGTGGTTGCTAAAGAAGTAGACCTATTAATAGCGCAGAAAAAACTCGGAAAAGATTCGGCCTTAACCACGCAAATCGATCCAGCTTCTATATGTAAGCCATCTAAAAATCAAAACTATCCGAAAAGTGTTTATAGCAGTACGACTCACAGATTATGCAAGGCCTCACGACATCTGTTCAATGATGGGAATATCAAAAACCAATAATACATGAAATTCGAAAGACTTCCTTTAATAATTCCATTTAAAAAAAAATAAATTTAAATTAAACTCCAAAAAAAAGCACGAAAAAAAAAACTCTGTAATAAGAAACCAAAGGTACAAAATTATTCGAATCAATTCAGCTAGTTCAATGCCATGTGTTCTCATAAAATTCTTATTAGTCTTTGCCTTTTTTCAACTAAAACATTCTTTTCCATTTTCTTTTTCTCTCTTTATCTAGCTATGCATAGAAGTGACACAAAGTAATTGGTCCCAAATAATTTTTTTTTTTTGCATAATTTTGGATGATGATGTTATTTGCTTCTCATTCCTCTTTCCCATTTCTTAATAATCCACAACTATTTAACAACCAAATTCAATCAGCCTCCTTCATAACAAACATCTGACTTCGTGCTAAACGAATTCAAAGAAGCATTATTTTCGCAAAAGATCACAGTATTCCGGAAAAGTTGCCTGATTATTTCTGAATTGATCGGCAACTCTAATATATTCATTACTGAATCATCAATATTATTTAATAGTGCTAAGTTAATTAAACGTGCTAATTAAACATTAATCAAACATGTGCAGTCAAATACTTCAGCATTGCGCATACTGTTTCACTTTTACATTTGCATCAGATATAAATTTACAACAAAATAAAAACCACAAAATTCAATTTACGTAACATTCTTCAAATATTTCGCAATACATAAATGACATTTTTTTTTTTTGTGACTAAAAAGAAATACCTAAAAAATACGAACAAGTAAAATAATGTACAATGCTAAGCATAATGTGACACAATCATTTGCAATAGCATAAATACGTCAAAATGTCACGTAAATTAGCATACGTATTTAACAAATTTAAGCGTCAGCCTTCACGTAACAAAAATTTCATCTAATCACACAGCCAAAAGACAAAGCTCAATTTCAAATATATTGTGCTCCAACTATCGACTGACTAATGGAATGAAAATTGGCCGGATCGCAACGAAAATTTATATCTCGCACAATTTGAAAATTTTTCCTTCGAGTTTTTTCTTTTTTTTGTGGTGTAATTTACTGATGAATTGTTGAGGTTTTTGTTTATAATTCTCACTCTTTTCCTAAATTTGAATTTTTTCAGTCATTATTTGATGCTTATTCGAAATGGAAACGTGGAAACAATGCCGAAAACAAATTAGTATTGTTTTTTTTTTATACCGCTCAATGCATGAATTCAAATTTCAATTTAATAACAATTTGGATTAGTGCCGAATTTTCATCCATTTTATTCCTAAAGAGAATAATTAGGCAATAATTTTGGCATTTACCATACAGATAAGGTTTAGTAGGATCTTTTTTTTCTGGTTAACTTGGTCATAATATTAATTTAACTGTTTGTTCAGTTTGGTTTTTTTTTGTTTTTTTTGAAGCCATGAATATATTGAGAGCATCAATATACTCATCACAATGTATTAAAATAACGTTAAAGAATTTCGACAATGCCAAATTCACTATGAAGTAGTGCTCAAATAGTTAAAGGAACTTCACCATGGTTAATGCGTTCATTTCTTCCCTTAGTTGGATTATTCGCAATCATTTACTATTAGCATCTTTATTTTTCTTTTTTACTTAAAGTGTTTGATTTTGTTTAACCAGTAATTAGCATTAATTTAAATCACTGATTTGTATAAATACCTGGAGCTTATCAATCGATCATTAAAAGTCGTGAGTGTGTTAGGAGTATCGATATAGTCATCATAAAGTATTGCTAAAATAACATTAAGGAATTTCGACATTGCCAAATTTGTTATGAGATGGTGCTTAAGTCGTTGAAGGTACTTAACTACTATGCATGTTCATGCGTATATTTCTTCCCTTAGTTGGATTATTCGCAATCATTTATTAATAGTATTTTTGCAGTATCGAAAATTTTGCCATTCACATCATTCAGTTTACCCAGTGAATATTGCTCATCACAACCGGATGCTTGCTTTACACCGGTATTTTTTTCATTTTTTGTTTACTTCTGTCTAATCAAACTTCAAGAAGAAATAGCTTAATTGACTCCACATATTTAAATTTGTAATTTTATCCCACATGTTTGGATACTTTTTGTATATTTATACATATTCGTCCAGAATTCTTTTATTTTTAAACCAATTTACCTATGTTTTTGCCTTTTTTGCCGCTTTCTTTGTGTTATTTGTTTTGATTGCTATTGGAGAGATCATTGGGACATCAATTTTATATATTTCTGTACATTTTATAATCGAGTATGTTTACAAATTTTGGATAAAACGACTGTGACTAAATGCAAAATATAATTCGATGAATTCAGACAATTCAATGTGCTTCGAATTTCAAAATTTCAAATCTAAAAATTCCGGATTTGTAGAATTGGGAAAATGATGCTGAATTTTAACAAATGTTCCAATTTTTAGATGGAACATATTGATCTTTCATCGCTTACGCTGCGGTCACAGGAACAACATTTGGTAAAGGATCTCTTTCTCGTTTACATGGTTAGTGTTTTATATTCGGAACAGACTGTGATTACTGAATTAGGAATTTTGCAGTTCAATAATTGATAATTCTACCAGTGACCAGCCACTGAATGGATTAAAACAAGTATTAACTGTACTGTAAAGCTCTTTCTTAATTCTACTACACGAATATGACCTATGCATCCTTGCGATTCTAACAAAGCACAATATACTGAATGGTTTTGATGAAAATCATTGTAAAAAATTGGTAAAACTATTGAAAATTGCAGTTCACTTGAAAATTGCAGTTCACTTTGATATTTTCTCGCAGATGTGATTAACAAATGGTTATAATAGGCTTATCAAGGAAACAGCATACGATTTATCAAAGAGGGTGATACCGTAACATGGACGGTGAATCCAAGTTCAGATACCTGTTTGCGTAGCGCGCTGTATACTGATGCATGTCTCCCTCTTGCTGCTACACTGATTCAACTTCGACATAATATCAAAAGTATGTTTTTCATTATTTGGCATTTCAAAACTTAGGATTCTTAAATAGATCTGTTGCAGTATATCTTCTGCTGATGTTATGACTAGAGGTTACATGTGATTCTATATGAAAAAGATTTGCATTTTATGCATGTTACTAAATCACTTCATCCAACATTTTCATTAATACCTTGATTAATGTCGGCTAGCATTAAGAGTTAATAAATTTGGAGTTGTGGTTTTATTTTATATTCCAGTGCGCTTTATTGACGTTATTTTTTTTCTTTTTGTGGCCGTAACGGTCTGCTTACCTATCTTTAGAGATAACAAGGATTTTTGGCACAGTAGCAATTACTGGAAAAGTGGGACTTCTATGAGTTGCTGACTAGCTTGTTGTAGTGATTCAGATCATTTGCCTTTAGCCAATGTCCACGTTACAGGATTTTACAAAATTTTCAAAAAATTTTTCATGGTATAAATTTTATGTGATATCTTCAGATATATGTTGTGAGTTATCGCGTGGTCGGGTAGCACTTGCTGTTGGATCTGCTGCTGAAGAATTCTTCAATTCGGAAATAATGCCTTTATTGGTTAAGCTGGAGCTCGAGAACCGAAACGATCAGAGATCACTGACTCTTGCAGAAGTTGCTACATACATGCGTCCATATATGCAAATAACGAAACAGCTGAATGACGTGCTTGCAACCATAATTAAGGTATTGTGGAAAGATGGATTTCATTCTTAATTAGAAATTAATGAATTTTAACCAGATTGAAAATTTAAATGTTTAGCTAATGCATTTCTATTCTTTGTACTGTTTTCTCGAAAACACTTGTGGTGAGTTACCATTAAAGTAGGGACTGTAATTCAGGTAGGTTGAACTTAGATCAAATAATATTAAGAGAACTGCGAATAAATCGAAAGAAAAGCATTTGAAATCATACAAAAATTTAAAATCTCTATGGTATGAAATGCAATAGGTAGAGTTAAAAGCGAAAAATTGAAACAACGAGAATTATATATACAAGGAACAGTATTAAAGGCATAAATCTTATTCGAAATAATAAGTTTAGGAAAATACTTTTTTGGCGGCTAGGTTGTTTTACGTCACTGTTTCCGTAGAGTATTTAAATTCTTAATATACTACTTCTCCAGTATTTATCTAAAAATAGGAAATTTATGTTAACTGTGTGTTTGCTTGCCATTTTTATTTGTGAGAGTTCGAACGTGAAATTATATTTGCATTGGGGAACACGCCTTGTAACTATTCGTTTTGGCATTATTTCTAGATAAATCTCGTATTTGTTGGATAAAAAAAAGCAGTGCTGTCGTTCTTCACTCGGATTTTACCTGAAGTGACAGTAATGCTACCGCATAATGTTGATAATAATCGATCTATTGGTAATTGATATCGATATAATTCCTTTTTATTGTAGGAAGATCTTGTGGGCGGCGAAGTGCTATCAATGCTATCAGAACAAATACGAAAATGTGTATCACCGACAACACGTGATGTGCTGCAAAAATTTGAAGTAGCTGGATTGGAACAATATTTCGAACTACTGTTTTGGTGGATACGCTATGGGAAAATTCAAGATTACTGTCATGACGTTTGTTTAATTGTTTAACAGATTTTGCAGACTAGAATTAAGAATTAAGATTGACCTCATTGAGTCTAATCTTTAGTGCCTTACAATTAAACATTCCTCTTTGATGTTCGGTTTGTTTCAAAAGTAAGAAATATTATACTAATCGTGTTTGAATTATGCAACGTGTTCGAATTACTTGGCGCTAAAAAATTTTTTTCTCTGCAAAATAATGCCCTTTTAATTTATACTTCCTTTCGCTCGTTTTTGTATTTCCCCTATTTCAGTTTATGATTTGGGATCTTAAGAGTTCGAAAATGTTTGCAAAATCGGACATCGTACCTGGAGATGACATCTTTAGTGATGGTTCAAACAAGTATGTAATTTCTGTAGTTACATAACTTAGAGTAACTGAATTCATTCCGAATTTCACTAGAGTATGCGGCATAGACATTCAGAAAATTAATTCACTTTAATTTAAAAAGCTAATAAAAAGTTGTTTGGTTTGCTGTTTTCAGTCTTGACGATCGATTTTGTGTTGTGAAAGCTTTATGTCCATCGCAACTACAACCTGCGTTTGAAGATATTATAAAATGTGGCACATATCTGAACATTGTTGATATGATCAAAGGTAAAATTTCGTAAAGAATATATATATTTTTTTTAAACCTCGAGGATAGGAGAAGTTAGGGCAAATTTCCTTCACACAGTTTCTCATTCAAGTATCGGTTAGCTTATGCTGATATATCATTTACGTAACCCACATCAGCATATTGTACTCTTGGGTCATCTTAACTTATTATTTTCCACCACCAGTATGAAAAAATTCGATTTAAATTTTGTATATTTCAATAAGCCTTATGAGTGGAGCATGTAGTTACAGTAAGAGAATAGAAAATAATGGTATGAGTTTAACAGTAATAGAATAGAAAATAGTGGAAGTTTTTTGAGTTTAACTAATGAGTGAATTTATCTGTGTGAAATTATGATGCATCTGCGGACATTCTGCTGGCCAAATTCGTTCGCAAATGAATCTTTTAGAAATTACTCACCAAACAAAAATATCTTTGTTCGTTTTCTGTATTTGTGGATAAAAGATTTTTCCTTTGATCGGAAAAACTTGGCGAGTGTTAGCAAGGGAGGATTTTTTCCACATCACTGCTTACCGATACTAACGCTGTCATATTTATCACTATTGTCGAATCTTAAAATTTTTTGACATATTTCACTCATATGCAAATTTATATCACATATAAATTGATGGTTTCAAATCGTCTTTCTGCAGGTGAAACTACAGCATTCGATGACGAACGGATTGGCGAAGAAGAAGAGCTGGAAGAATGGAAACGAAAAAGTGTTCGTTTTTCAGTGCTCGTATTTTTAATAATCATATTTCTGATTTTTCTGAATTGTCAATGCTTTGATCAACTATTATGAAGATGATGCTTGTTTCTTTTGAGGTTGATGACGTTGTACGTGAGGTAAAGAAAGCTCGGCTAAAAGCAAGTAAAGATTTAGTTCAGATTTTGCGTAAGCAGTTCGGTTTGGATGAGTACTTCGAGTAATTTTTTACTTGATTATTTCATGTTTCTCTTTTGTTTTGTTTGTTAATTTCTGTTTTAACACACACTTGTGACATTTGATTTTTTGTGTGGCTTTTGAATTTTTATCATTTCTTTCAAAGAGAATATGTTTTTTTAAATTGAGTTTCAGGTCATTTCATAACTTTCTTCTCATACAATGCTCAGACTGGCTAGTTTCATTCCATGAATTATCTCGCGATATGCTAATTAGTTCTGTTCGAGGTAATTTTGATGGGTACAATAGATTATTAGGATCGTTTGGGTCTTCAGTGTAATTCTCTGAGCATTATTACGATATAATTAAGCATATTCTTTTATTTCTAGTTTTTTAAATTACCTCAATTTTTAAGTATTTTGAAGTACTGAGATCAGACTTGCAAAACCATGAGTTTCGATTATTTGCAACGGTCTAAATTTCAAGTGAAGACTTTATTGTCGGTAATTTTAGTTGATAATGAGACGCTTGTTGCACTAAGATGCGGTACTTATTAATTTTGGGAAGATTCTTCGTATTCCAGAATTCGTGTGATTATATTGATGTCAAATAGCTCATTATTTTTTCATAGCTCGTGATAGCTCTTTAATGACACATTATTTTACCTAGCAAACAGAAAAAATGTATCAGGTGGTGTAGTATTCTGATTAATAAGTAGAATCTTCCCAAGATAAAATATGGAGACGCCTATAACTGCAGTTATAGAATTAACGAAGTATATATCTGTTTTATATAAAATCATAATAGTTGAAGGACGATATTGCATACGACCAAAATTGATTGTAATTGTTTACGTAACAAGTTTCAGATATATCAGTAAAGAAATTGCAAATATTATTCGAGGAAGCTGTAGACTGCTCGACCTTACATTTCGACAAACACCGGCACATATTTAGGTTAATTTTTAGTACTTTTCAGTATGGACTTATCAAATAGTTCGGTTATTTAATTTAATCTTTATGTTGGAAAATTTATTAACTTTTTCTCTGAAACCCACGTTTTTTTTTTATTTTGCTCTTTTACTGTTTTTAGACCTATTTTGGAGAAGTTTGATGTATTCACATCATTGCTGCTAATCAGTAGAGGAAATAAATGGAAAAGACTAATCAATGGAGAAAATGAGCAAATGAACAAATTACGGATGGGTGAGTAGTTGCATTTAAGATTGGTAACGTTGACATGCAGTTACTTTATGGGAGAATACATAAAATGAGATGAATTTCTGTATCTTATACGGGAATGACAATTACAGCTGAAATTACATATTAATAGTAATCAGTGAAAGCATTAGAAAAGCTTCTTTTTAATCAACACTTGATTTTGATTGGTTAATGGACTGCTAGGACTAACTAAATGATTAATACTGGACATTGATGCAAAATAAACACGTCGGATCTTTCAATTCGATCTTTTTTTGAATAACTGGTTCAACAACTTTTATAGATTTCGAAACAACCGAAAGTAAAAATGGGCAGGATGCATTGGCAATCCATATTAATGTCGATTCACCGTTATCGCTTGTTTTCCCACCACAGATACTGCTTCATTACAATCTCCTTTTTCGGATATTTTTTTACCTTTTCAATGCAACCACTCAAATTTTCAAGTTTGCAGTTACTATTACCATTGATATTTTATTTTCTTCTGTAATTAACATTGTTAATATTAATATTACGAATTTAATATTATTAATTTAAAGTTAACCTGTATGAAATATGCCGAAGCATTTATCAATTATCACATATTGCTAACTTTTTTATGCCATCTACATATTGCAGTTATATATTTATATTTTTAATGATGTTTTGATTACCCGTGTTCGCTAAGATATCACGGCTAGGCTTCGCGAACGAAGGTTTAGTTAGGGCTCTACCCATGCTTGCTACAAACGTTACAAATGTGGATGTTTCGAGTGAGTTTGTGCAAATTTTTTAGGTGAGGCACACCATGCTCGAAACTGGTCTCATCTTTTACTTCTAAGGTTCATCTGTCAGGGCTATCGAATTAGGACAGAACTGCGAAGTGCTCTGGACGTTTTCTTTTTTTTTCTGGACTGTCCTTATTTTAGATGGATGGCCTTACAGGGCTAAGTGAGCCGTAGATACACTTTGTCTGGATACATTGCTGCCCGTGGATACACTTTGTCTGACCCTTTAGCTGAAACATAGCTCGCAACCTTATAAAGGTGCGTAAGCTTCTTTGCGACAAGGAAATGGCTGGACAAAAGTAAGAGGGGACTTTATAGACTTTATGATATAGAGTTATAAATATAGTAATTGAAACATAACTTTTTTATTTTTTTGACATATGATAACAAAATGTCTATCTTTATACAGTTATCTCTGAAATTAATTGCTATAATTTCTCCTGCATAAAAGTGTATTTAGTATTTCTGAAAATAAGTGTTTTAGTGACTGTATGTCAATATTATTCCTATCTTACCTTTGCTTATGAGTTTGGGAATCGACGAACACAAGATATTTTGTCGTTAGTCTTATCCATATTATAAGCATTTTAAAGGGTTATCTCCTTATCATTTTTGTTTTGCAGCAAACAGATGCGTAGTGATTTATTAACGCTTAGTGATAGGCGTTTGCTAGAAGAAATGCTACATTTTCTGAATGCCTATAATTTACATTGCTTAATATATGTTGTACCTCGTTTATGGAGTATTTTTATTGACAAATTATCGAAAGTTAGTTTTTCATACACTTTTTAAATGTTCTAATTATTGCTTAATTTCCGTTATTTAAGTGAGTTGTGAGCAGATTTTTCTTATAACTCTTAGATAAATTTTTTGTTAAATGAACATAACGATTTGTTTTAAAGAGAAATGCCAAAAACTTTTCGTCCAAAAGGATTGCTGAGCATATCGCTGTTAGTATTATTTTACTAATATCGTTAAGTTTAACTGTAAGTTACTTTGTAGAAAGGGAAATTGTTAAACTAAATTGAGTTAGAATTAATGAAAATTACTAAAGATATAATAGTTTTAGCTGATTTTTTTTTAGTCTGCAAGCCTTGAAGAAATATTGTCATTCCAAAATTCGTTTCTTGCCGATACGATGGCTCAGTGTTTTTTACCGGATCCGATTTTCATGGATTTGCTTTCGAATTTGGTTGCCATTATCCATGGTTTTACGGCCGGAGAAATTGTACATTTCATTTTCGCAAGCAGTTACTTTATATCATTAGACAGATCGCATCTCGACTAGGGCATTTTTAATCATAACTCATTTTGTTTATAGTCTTGGAATATAAATTCCATTAAGAAATTTGATAAATAAGATGTAATGTACTAGTTGAGCTGAGGGCGCAGTTCAATCTTTTTATCGCAAACACCAAGGGAAATTTTTTTGTTTTTTGTTTTTGTCATATTTCCTGAGCTAAAAACACGATCGTAACATGAGAGGGGAAAATGAAAGCCATTTCCTACAAGAAAATCTGATCCCAGTAAACATTTATTAGACGGCAGTCTAATCTCAATAATTGTCTAAATACTCTGATAGGCAAAAGATTTAAGCAGTTGACTCATTTGAAGTGTTATTCATCTTCTTACTAAAATATCTCTGCTTCATCAATATTAAATTAGAATCATATCTATCACTTTAGTTAAATTTTGATAATATTTTATATAATTATTGTTATTTTCAGAAATATGATCAATCAGTTGAAAAATGGAATGATTACCTTGGAAAAATGTATTCTCTTCTTTCCAAGCCAAACAACAATAATGCATATGCTCAGTTGCATTCTAGGTAGGACTTTTTTTAATAAATTTTCTAGTTTGTTAGAGAATTTTAACTGATTCAGTCTCTCTCTAAAGCTGGTAATTTAAGATTGTTATGAAGAGTTTGTTACTATTTGCTAAAGCCAAAGCTAATTGTGAACTTCTCTTTTCCAACCCACTTCCAAATTGATATTTGATATTTTTTTTTTCATAATCTCGCATTTGATATTTTCAGAATCTTTTCACAAATCTATTGAACTGTTTAATGAAACGAGCTGAAAGAATACATATATTGCGGATAAAGGATTGCCTTGTTTCAATGAAATTTTTTTAACCACCTTTATTTTAATTTGATTCTTTTAGTTTCCTTTCTTTTAGTTTCATTCTTTTAGTTTTTTTTTTTTTTTTAATTGTTTTATTCGATTGCGTGATAGCAGTGGTTAAGGTAAAATATAACTGTGTACAAAATGTGACCTGAAATAACTGTGTTTGAAATCAATCGCTAAAAAATATGCAGAAAGTTTCGAAAGACTATCGTGTCGGTACAACAATTATGACAATTAATTACCTTTATCGCTTTATTTTATATTTATAGCGATATTTATGTAATCGTAATGATCATTCTGAAATTTTCATAGTGCCTTTTAAACTTACCTTTTTCAATGATTTATGAATTTCTTCCGGATTATAAAAAACTTTCTGTAACCTGCAACTTTTTTATTCAGAATATTTCATAACCTACCTGCTATGGATTTCTGTTACCGGCCGTCTTTTGTACCTTGTTGTTAGTACAGTTC